CATTTGACGGAGGCCTCGGCAGAGCGCCCGGCAGCCGGCGACGCCCAGCTCGCGGTTGCCGCCCAGACGCAGCATCAGCTTCGTCAGAACCCTCATCTTCTCGAGGCCCTCCGCCAGGAGCTCTGCACCCTCCGAGGTGATCGCGTTGAAAGACAAGTCGAGCACGAGCTCCTCGCAGCCTGGTCCGATCTGCCGCAGGGACTCGCCGAGAATTCGGCAGCACTCGTCTCCCAGGTCGCAGTACCGCAAAAAGAGGCCGACTCTGCGGGGCAGGCGCCCCGGCGGCGCCGTGAGAGTCAAGAGCCGAGCCTCCGGGAGCTCCTTCGTGAACTTCCAAAGGTCGGAGCGGGAAAGGTTCAGCAGAAGCTCTTCGCAGGGCCCGGGAGGGCCGTGTTGGAGCCAGCTGTTCTCTTCGTCATCCGCGATCCTGGTGCAGTGGACAGCAGAACAGAATCAGAAGCGCTTCTCAATTACACCCTCGCTCTCTCCGATTTCCACATGCATGGACATGCATCCCCCGCCCTCGCCCGCTCTGTATCTGCAGACCTGGTCGGAATCAAAGTCTGCAGCTGCTCCCGAACAGCGAGGACGCTTCCCCAGCCCCTCTTCTGGGCGACCCCTTCCAGCCGATGTAGCGCAGACATGTAGTCATCACATAGGGCCAGGCGCCCAGCAGAGTACGCGTCCAGCGCCTCGTTCTTCAGCCAGTCCTGCACCTCCCAGGAAACGTGGTCGTGGTACATCCATGCGAGCAAGAGCCGGGCGAAGGGGAGCACCAGGTTCACAATCAGCGCAAAGGGCTTCAGGCCATCGGCCACAGAGATGACGGAGGCGATGACGCCTTGCGGAGCGTCTTCCAGCACCATTGCCCACCGCCTGGTGGGTGTGCTTTGTTTGTAGAATAGCTGCAAGAGCTTCTTCCAAAGACTGTAGCCAGAGCCCGCTGCTTTCCTCTTCACAAATAACAGGGCCAGATAGCCGCGGCACAGCTCCAGGCGCGTCGACTTGTTCGGCAGCAGGACGGCCAGGTGTAGCAGCCAGAGGTAGCCCAGCGCACCGCAGCCTCCGGAGCATGTGCTGCTTGCGAGGAAGTGGGGGCAACGGAAGACTCACCTCAACATGCTGAAAGCTCCTCCTGCATGTTACATGCCTTACTGCTTCATACATCTTAAGGCTTCCGGCCTATTGCCCGCACCCAGCCGGTGTCTGAGGCGATTGCTTGTGCCGCCAGCACGGAGTCTTTCAGAGAGTCGCAGGCCTCGCCTAAGAACGGCACCAGACTGAGGCCGGCCACCGCCACGTCCGCTGCACCGTAGCTCGAGCAGCCCAGCGCCCGCAAGGCAAGGGCCTGCACTGCAGGCTACGCGATCGCACTGTCTAACAAATCGTTTGGTGTTAGGCCGCGCGCCAAGTACGAGCAATGCACTCCGAGCATCCTTGACACAAGGCTCGCACGCCCACGGAAAGAAATCCATGAGCTGGACTTCATACACTTACCAATCGAAAACGGATTGCTGCAAATTCGAAAATTGATTGCTGCAAGCACCGTGCCAGCCCTCCCCAAACCCGGCTAAGCCAGTGAGGAATTTCTGAAACTCCGAAGATGACGCCTCTCAGCTCAGCTTCGCCTGTCTCTGTGCGTGGGGCGGGACGGGTCGTTTGCCGACTGAAAGAGGATCGCGCCTGCATCAGGAAGAGGGC